TTAGCACACCCTCCTTTAAGCCTGATGGCTTTAGTGAGCAAGCCAATCCACAAATAAATTGTGCAGAAGTTTGATACCGTAAACCTGAAATGGAAGTGGAGGGAGAGATGCGGAAATATTCAACGTCTGAGCAGAGAAACAGAGCTAACCTTTCAGGCTGATGGCCCTTCACCAGATCTCAGAGGCCAACTCTTGTGCCTACCATTCGACATCGTGGCTACACGTCCACCTTTGTAACTTTGCTTGTTCCAATCATTCCGTAGTTTAACAATTCGTTGAACCTTCATCCGTGATGTTGGAATTCATTCGACCGATGCTGATCTTCGAGGTTTTTCGCCTGGAGAAAACCTGAGACCATTTAAGGCGCCCACATCCTAATTTGCACCAGGTCTCATACATCCATCACCCTGTGCTACCTGACCAACCTCAGTTCCTGGTGAAGCCACACCCGTTCATCTGAAACCTCTCACTGCTGTTATCAAACCCTGACTGCTGTATAACCTTCTACAGCCCTACAATATGCCAGGACCACAGCAACTCAAATCTTGACCTCTACTCCCATCACTCCACTGATGGCTTGGCCTTCAACTCTCTGGGCCTGGATTTCCCTCCCTAAACCTTCCCACCTCAAGCTGCAGCTACTCCATGAAGAACTCCTCACCTCCATCCCAAAATGTCACTTTGTGGACTGGTGAAGGCTTCTGCGGCTGACAAGCACCTTGCAAATTTTAGCTGTGTTGAAGGAGACAACTAAATGCTGGTTGTTGTGAATGTAATCTCCCCGACTATAAAATCTACAATCCCCTCATGTCCCTCATTATAAAATCCCAAACCCTCTGCTCTCACTGATCGTGACATCAGAATCCTTTGATCCCTGATTATTAAATCCAGATTCCACTGATTTCCCTGATTATTAAATCCAGATTCCGCTGATTTCCCTGATTATTAAATCCAGATTCTACTGATTTCCCTGATTATTAAATCCAGACTCCATTGATTTTCCTGATTGTGAAATGTAGAATCCATGCTGTCTTTGTGGTGTCCAATCTAGAATTGCCCAGCCTGATGCTTGTTGGTCAATCCCTCCTTTGGATCTGATATACTTTGCACTTACCCAAACTCTAACCTTGGCTGAGCAGAATGTTTCTGCAACTGAATGGAGGAGCGTCTGAAGTCAGTGTCTAGTTGCTGCCAAAACCTTGCCCAAGTTACTATCCTGCTCCCATGTTACCAGATGACGTCAAAGCTAATGGTTTGCAACCTTGGAGTCTTGTTTGGAACTGAAATTAATTCCAAACCTTCCACTTCATCAAAAGAACTTACCCCTGTGATAACACCCATTACTGCATTAGCCTCAGTCTGTCTAATGGTGAAACCATCACCCAAGGCTATGTTAGCACACCATTTCTATCCAAAAGTCATTCAATTCTCTCTTGAGCTCCTCGATAGAACCTGCCTCCATCATATTGCGAGGCAGTGCATTCCTGACCCTCGCTGCTTGCTTTGTAAAAATGTTTTTTTCTCACATTACCCTTGCTCCTTTTGCCCAACAGCTTAAATCTATGCCCCCTCCTTCCTGGTCCTTTAACGAGTGGGAACAGCCTGTCCTTATCTACTCTGTGCAACCCGCTTACAATTTGGAAAGTCTCTATCAGATCTCCTTGCAGCTCTCTTCTTTTCAAGGAGAGCGGTCTCGAGTTCTCCAATCTATCCTCGCATCTGACGTTTCTCATTCCTGGAAGAATCACATTCTTGAAAATCATTTGTGCAATCTCTCCAAGGCATTCACATCTCTGCTATATTGGGGCAGCATGGTGGCTCAGTGGTTAGCACTGCTGCCTCACAGTGTCAGGGACCAGGGTTCAATTCCACCCTCAGGTGACTGTCTGTGTGGAGCTTTACATTCTCCCTGTGTCTGTGCAGGTTTCCTCCAGGTGCTCCAGTTTCCTCCCACAGTCCAAAGATGTGCAGGCTAGGTGGACTGGCCATGGGAAATTGCCTGTAGTGTTCAGGGATGTGTACATTGGGTGGGTTATAGGGGGATGGGTCTGGGTGGGATGCTCTGAGGGTCAGTGTGGACTTGTTGGGCCAAAGGGCCTGTTTCCATACTGTAGGGTTTCCATGAAGAAATAATGTTGTGCCTACAATGTTTTGCCAGTGTCAGACACTGGCTGAGGGGCCCACAAAGGTCCTGCCCTCTCAACCTCACCCCTTGCCTGAGGCATGGTGATCCTCAGGTTAAACTCACCATCAGTCATCTCTCTCTCTAATGAGAGACTGGACCTAAGGACCTCTCAAGACAGTAGCAACTTTACTTTTACAACGTTTCATGCACAACTGTACGAAAAGTTTCAGCTGAGGTCTAACAAGTGTCTCACACAAGTTCAACATCACCTCCTTGTTCTAATACTTTATACCCCCATTAATTATTCCAACAATAACCATGATTATTACTGTTCCTTCACTGTCACTTGATCAAAGTTGTGGAGGTCCGTTCCTATCTGCACCCTGGGTGTACCTACATCAGAAGGACAAGGTAAGTAACTTTTCAAAGGGACAACCTAACTTCCACCTTTGACATTCATTGCTTTGCCTTCAATCTAAGGCCTGAACTTTCACTCAGAGGCAGAAACAAAATCCCAATTTGACCAACTCAGCTGTGGATGAGGGTGCCAAGAGAGTCAGGTCTTCATTCTGGAAGATGGGTGATGACTGGCATTGGGCTAACAGAACATGGAGAGGGCTTGGGGGCATCCACTGGGGATGTGCCATGGGACGCTGTTAAAATGACAATAAAACAAACAAAATGGAAAGCCCTCCAGCCCTCACCCAACCTCATGCCCAAACACACACACCCCTCCTGCCCCTTCCGTATCAATCCATGCTAATTTGTATCCCCGTCCCTACCACAAGTCTCACAAATCTCCATGCCAACCTGTGCACTCTCTATCAAACCATGGGCTCTCAGGGCCTCCAGGTTAACGTGTGCCCCTCCACCCATACCAATGACCTTTTAAAACGCCTGCGGAAATTTAGTGCCAATTAATATCAAACCAAGTCCATCTCCTGCCCATCCTTTCCCCCAAAATCATTCATACCAATTCACCCAATGTCCACCTCAGAGCAATCTATACTTAGATGGAATAAGGTAAAGCTCTAAATGACCATTGTTGAATTCTCATTGGTGAAAACCTATTCATTTGATGTGTCTTCATGCTATTTGTAGCCCCATATTAAAGAACATCAAAGCACTTAGAGCTGTCAATCAAATTGAAGTGATAATCATAGATTGAGAGATCAGCCATGGAGCGCAATCCTTTAACGACTGTTCTCAGGCTTAAGTCAACAGACAGAGTGAATAGAAAACACAGACTTTTTTTACACACTAAGAACAATTGTGTCAAACATGTAAAAGCCAGGAGATTAAAATAACTTGACACCTTGACACTTTGCAGTAGCCTTGACATTTTGACAGATCAAGAGAACTTTGTTATTCCAACGAGTTTATTCACTTTATATGCACAATCACCTCCAGCTTTAACAATCCCAAAGAGCACTTTACCTCATTGACATTTCATCTTAGCTTTCTCAAAGTTGTCCCGAGGTTCCCTAAAGGATGCCCACGCCCCCCTCCAAAGAACTACCTTCTCCTGAAAGGTCTAAAGACCCAAAGTTGTATGTTGGTCATGGCAGCAGTGAAAACTGGACCTAGCTGAGTGTAGCTGCTTGTTAACGTGTGCAGTTACTCCCATGAGCCACAAATATGTGAAGTAAAACTCACCCCCGTTCCACCAACATACCCCTCCAACCCCCATCACCAGCAAAAATGGAAGGCGCTGGTTTCAGGGGCGTGACTTCTAGGAACCAGGACTCCGGTACCATTTTGGATAAACCAGACACGTCACCTGTGTGAAAATTCAGGCTCACGTCTCTGCGGCTCCACACATTTGGATTTAATAATGCACCCACAGTTCAATTGCCAACTGTAGCTGGATAGTCCTGGAGGTTTCATGAAATAACCACTTGCAACAACCTACCTCAACGCCTTCTTGTCAAATGCTGGAGATCACAGCAGGTCAAACAGCATTCATGATGGAGAGAGAGCCAGCTAATGTTTTGAGTCTAGGTGACTCTTCAGTACAGATTCCAGCATCTGCAGTAATCTGCTCCTACATCCTTCTCATGCATGGCCTTCCTAGGCTGACTGGAAACAAACTGGTTCTTTTCTATATGGCACTTAACTGTCAGTGAAAGTTTATCATTAGCTTCTCTCCAATAGTTTTACCTAAGCGAATGCTTAGAAAAGGATCACTTCTCCTTATGGGTTTCCTACAGCATACAGCCATTATTGCCCAGAAGGAAACCACTTTTATACAAATATCCAAACAAGGAACAAGAGTAGGCCCCTGGTCTGACATTCAGAAAGGTCACGGCTCATCTGATTTTAACCTCAACTTTACATTCCTGCACATCCCTAATAATCTGTCATACCCTTGGTCATCAAGAATCTATCTACTTCAGCCTTAAAAATATTTAAAGATTCTGCATCCTCTTAAGGAAGGGAATTCCAAAGACTGACAATCCTCAGAGAGAGAGAAAAAAAACGTTTCCTCATCTCCGTCTAAAATGGGTACTCCCTTATTTTTAAACAATGATCCCTAGTTCTCGATTCTCCCACCAGAGGAAGCATTTTTTGATATTCACCTGGTCAAATCCTCTCAGGATCTTACATGGTTCAATTGAGACACCTTTGACTCTTCGAAACTCCACAGGATACAGGCCTAGCCTGTCGGACCCTTCCTCAGAAGGCAGTCCAAATGGAGAAGCCGCAGCAAAAATAACTTATCATAATGTGGCCCTTTCCTTCACAATGAATGCCCTCTCGGTAATTATGGAACCTTCCCGCCTCTATTTCCCAAAGTCTAGACAATTTGAACCAACAGCTCACAAGAATAAATCTTATAATCTCCACATCAGTAAATCGACAGGATTAAACTCACCTGTACAAAGGGGATCGACCCTTGTTCGACAATAGAGATTAAGCAATTTTCTGCTTGCTGCTTTGATGAATTGTGCGTGGATCGTGATTGACAGAGATCCTGCTGACAAATATAATTCCAGATTTTGCTTCCTGAACCTGCGATTGATTAACTCTCTGCCCATACCAGGCGTGTTGATCAGAATGTTTTAAAGTGATGGGAAAAGAGCTCATTAAAAATGGCAAGTGTTGCAATACGAGTGGTTAGCTGCGTGGAGTCAACGAAAGCCGTCATTTCCAACTAATAGTAGGCGATTGATTCAACTGTTTGATTGGGAATGTGCAGGGGAGAAGTTTGGAAGTTTTCTTCTTGAAAGTTGTCATTCTTAACCCATAAATCGTCTGAAACATAAAGGAAATTAACTTGTAAAACACACTGTTTAATGTCTGCATTGATTGCAAGATAGGCATTGTAACAATATTATCAAAGAGTTATGAATGGAATCAGATTGTGTGATGAGTTTAAGGACTTTTGTTATCTTTAGCTTCCATTCCTCTGCGAAATAAAAAGATTGATAAACCATAGCACATGCTGTCAGGGGGGAAGTGATGGCCTAGTTGTATTATTGCTGGACTTGTTAATCCAGACACCCTGATAATGTTCTGGGGACCAGGGTTCAAATCCCACCATGGCATTTAGTGGAATTTGAATTCAATAAATATCTGGAATTAAGAGTCTAATGATGACCGTGATTCAACTGTTGGTGAAAAAAAAACATCTGGTTCACTAATGCCATCCTTACCTGGTCTGACCTACATGTGACTCCAGACCCACAGCAATGTGGTTGACTCTTAAGTGCCCCCTGGACAATGAGGGATGGGCAATAAATGCTGCCCCAGCCAGCGATGCCCTCATCCCATGAATGAATAAAATAAAAAACTCACAATGGAGCACAGAAACATTGACCACAAATGTCAGCTTCACTTTAGAGGAGCGTCCTGCATTTCATTTTTAAAAAGGCTCAGGAAAAATAAGTCAAAGCATAAAAATTAAAGACCACGAGGAAAGCAAGGGGAACTCTTGCATTGAGGAACAGTATCTTTAACATAACGCCCTGAGATGTTCATCTGATTTAAGGCAGAAATGGGAGAGATTAAACAAGGATTTCAAAGAAGAGACAATGAAAAGAGAGTCCAGTAATTTACTGGGGGGAATCTGGAAAGTAGCAGTGAGCCAGCTCCATCTAGTGGTGTTTCAAAAGGAGGGGTGAGACATACAATACGAGCACAAGGGTGGCATGCAAGAGGGAGCGCAAGTCTCGAGACGGCTGACACAAGATGGGAGGTGCAATGGAGTATTTGGACGATCTGAATGCAACACTTTGTAGGACTGGAGTTAATGTAGATTAATAAGGACAGGGCGATGAGCTAACAGGATTTAACATGGAAAAAGAAATCAAGCTGCTGCATGCTTTGAGAGGGAGGATGGAAAGTTGAATATACAGTCACCATAGACCCCCTCTCTCATTAGCGAGAGACAGCTGGTGGTGATTTTAAGCTGAGGGTCACCAGGCCTCAGGTGAGGCGAAGAAAGTGTGACCTTTGTGCTGACCCCAGCCAGTGCAGCAACTGAACCCAGAATATTGTCAGCATCCAACATCACCAACCAGCCATCCAGACAACCCAACTCACTGATCCCGAGAATAAAGTACAGAAGGACAGAATCATTGGTTTCTAATTGCTCTCATTTCACTCCTAAAGCTCTTCCAGGCCCCCAGAACGGTCTGAGCTGTCCACCCTTTTCAAATTCTGGCTTCGTGGTGCACCTTCAGTTTCCATTGTTCCATGCCTGCAAAGGTTGAGGCAGTGGTTCAGTGGTTAGCGCTACTGCCTCACAGCACCAGGGACCTGGGTTCAGTTCCACCCTCAGGTGACTGTTAGTGTGGAGTTTGCACGTTCTCCCTGTGTCTGTGTGGGTTTCCTCCTACAGTCCAAAAATGTGTAGGCTAGATGGATTGGCCATGCTAAATTGCCTGTAGTATTCAGGGATGTGTAGATGAGGTGGGTTATAGGAGGATGTTTCTGGGTGGGATGCTCTGAGGGTCGGTGTGGACTTGTTAGGCCAAACAGCCTGTTTCCACACGTTAGGGATTCTATCATCTAACTTTAGAATTCCTGGTTGAAACTTATCTGCCTCTCCATGTTAATCTCATCCTGTAAATAACTTCTTCAAACCTTATGCGGCTTTGTGTCAACTTTTAACTGCTGCAAAGTATGCTGGGATAGTTTTTATCCCATTGTAGGAATATAAATATGTCAATTGCTCTTGTAGTACTGCAGCCTTTCAAATGCAAGCTGGAATACTTAGCTCAAAAGATGTATTGTTTTTGGCAACCAGACGCATATAGAATTTAAGGTATCTGTCACATCCATTGACGGATCAAAGATTTCCATTGTTCACTACATGAGAGAATCCAAGTGGAATGATCGATTTCCATCAGCATCTGTCAGATTCAGCTTCCAATAAGTAGTGTCACGTTGTGCATTTGTTACTAACCACCAATCATCCTAACAGCATAGGGCAATCATTGCAGTTTTACTGCACTGGATGCTTCAGTAATTACCCTTCTAATTTCTCATCATTGCTTGTTATAGTTGTATTCTTGCCACAGAGCCACACAACTGTATTTCATTTCATTCATTCACTAGTTGCACCATCATTTATTGCCCATCACTAGTTCCCATGAGGAGGCGCTGTTGAGCTGCCTCCTTGAATGGCTGCAGTTTATTTGGTGTAGGTGGACCCACACTGCAGTTAAGGAGGGACACTACCGGTAAAGAAGGAATTCCAGGCTTTTCATCCAGCAACAGTGAAGGAATGGTGATATATTTGCAAGCCAGGATGATGAATGCCTTGGAGAGAACTTGTAGGTCATGACTTTTTTTTTCCCTCTTTATTCATTCACAGGATGAGGGTGTTGCTAACTAGGCAGCATTTATTGCCCATCCCTAATTGCCCAGAAGGAAGTTAAGAGTCAACCACATTGCTGTGGGTCTGGAGTCACATGTAGGCCAGACCAGGTAAGTATGGCAGTTTCCTTCCCTAAAGGGCATTAGTGAACCAGATAGGTTTTTCCGACAATCAATAATGAATTCACAGTCGTCATTAGATTCCTAATTCCAGACATATATTCAATTCAAATTCAACCATCTGCCGTGGCAGGATTCGAACCTCGGACCCCAGGACATTACCTGGGTCTCTGGATGAACAGTCCAGCAAGGCCATCGCCTCCCCTTCAGGGTTGCAGTCCATTTGGTGCAGGTGAACCGAAACTGCAGTTCAGGAGGGAGATCCACACTACTGTTCAAAAGAGAGTTGAAGAGTTTCCCTGTATCTGTTGCTACTGTCCTTTGAGATGGTTGTGAGTACAGAAGGTGATGTTTAAGAAGCCTGTGTGAATTTCTGCCACGCATCTTGTAGATGGTACACTCTGCTGCAGCAGTGTTGCTGGTGGACCAATAGAATGATGATGGATGTAATTCCTATCAAGAATGCTGTTCAGAAATGAATGTCAAGGGGCAATGGTTATACTCTCTTATATTGGAGATGGTCAGTACCTGGCACAAATGTTACTTGCCACCTGTCAGCCTAGAGCTGGAATTTATCCACGGCTTGCTTCATTGAACACGGACTGCTTCTGTGTCTGAGGATCTGCAAATGGTGCTAAACATCAAGCAATCATCAGCGAACGTCCCCGCTTCTGAACTTACGATGAAGCGAAGGCCATTGGCGGAGCAGCTGAAGATTGTTGGCCAATAATACTACCCCAGCAAAATCCTGCAGAGATGTCCTGGAGCTGGGATGACTGACCTCCATCAGCCCCAACCATTTTTCCATGTGACAAGTATGACTCGAACCAGCGGGGAGTTTGCCCTCATTACCATTGATTCCAGGTTTTCTAGGGCTATTTGATGCCACATTTGATCAAATGCAGCCTTGACATCATGGGCAGTCATCTCTGGAATTGGGCTGTTTTGTCTATGTTTGAGCCAAGGCTGTAATGAGGTCAGGAGCTGAGTGGCCCTGGCGGAACCCAAACTGGGCATCACTGAGCAGGTTATTGCTGAGCAGGTGATGCTTGATAACACTGTTGGAGAACACCTTCCATCACTTTACTGATGATCGAAAGTAGACTGATGGGGCGGTAATTGACCAGGTTGGATTTGTCTTTCTTTTGTGAGTAGGACATACCTGGGCAATTTTCTACATTGCTAGGGAGATTCTAGTGCCTTAGTTGTACTAGAAGACTGGCTAGGGGAATAGCAAGTTCTGGAGCACAAGCCTTTGGTACTATTGCTAGAATTTTGTCAGAGCCCATAGCCTTCTGCATTATCCAGTGCCTCCAACCATTTCTTTATATCAAATTGGCTGAAGGCTGCCATGTGTGATGCTGGTGATCCCTGGAGAAGGCTGAGATGGATCACCCACTCACCAGAAGATTGTTGCAAATGCTTCATCTTTATCTTTTGTACTGATGTGTTGGGTTCCATCATTGCGGATGTGAGCTGTTTAATTGTCCATCACCATTCATGACCGGATGTAGCAGGATCGCAGATCTTAGATACTAACTGTACGTTATCTAAGTTCTTAGATCAGTCTGTCAATTGCTGCTTATGCGATTTTGCGTAAGGTAGTCTTGTTCTGTAGCTTCATCAGGTTGCCATTTCATTTTTAGGTAAGACTGGTACTGCTCCTGGCACAGCCTTCTGCACTTTTCATTGAACCAGGGTAGATTGCCTGGATGGACGATAATGGTAGAGTGGAGGATATGTCAGGCCATGAGGTTGCAAATTGCATTGGAGTGTAATTCTGCCACTGATGGCCCATTTGCACCTCATTGATGCCCAGTCATGAGTTGCTAAATCATTTCAAAACCTATTCAGTTTCGCACAGTGTAGTGTCTCACAGTATAATGGAGCATGTCGTCACTGTGAAGAAAAGATTCATCTCCACAAGATTGTTCCCACCAACACATACATGGCCTGACACATCTGTGACAGGAGGAATAGTAAGGATCAGAGCAAGTATTCAAGGGTGGCACAGTGGCTCAGTGGTTAGCACTGCTGCCTCACAGCGCCAAGGACCCGGGTTCAATTCCACCATCTGTGCACATTCTCCCTGTGGATGCTAGGTTGATTAGCCGGGGGAATGCAGAGGTAGGGTAGGGTAGAGGAGGGTGGGATCCTCTTTGGAGGGAGTGCACAGACTCAATGGACCGAATGATCTGCTTCCACACTGTAGGAATTCTGCGGTTCTACGTATGCTCTTCCATCTCGTTGGTTCGCTCGCCGCCTACCAAAGACCCAGTCTAGCAGCTTTATCCTTCAAGACTCAACCAGTA